TTTAGTCTGATGGGCATTTCCTGTTGACTTACAAAAATGAAAGATCTAGAACGTCTCAAATCGTCTCGCGAATCACGTTGTTTTCCCGTCCCCGGGCTCTTAGAATTCAACATCAGACGTTTCAGATCTTCGATTTTGACGACCCCGTTGTCGCTGGCATAAGCAACAGGATCCGCGTACGAAATCGCGGGCAGAAGCTAGTTTATTTAATAAATGTGTTATTTATTTTTATCAGTTTATTAAATTTCCTATCTGTAGAGCGGGCGACACCTCACTGATACTAACTTGCACTCCGGTTACGACGACCCCAAAAAATTCCGTGGGCATGGGCACATTCTGAAGGTCTTATGATGACCTTATTATTCAAATGATTATGATATTCAAATGCTTATCGGTTTTCAGTAACGGAAATAGTTAGGATGGCCTAGCTTTCTATGTTTATCTAATTGAGCTCTTGACGTGTTACATACTAAAATAAAGTTGAAGCACCCAAACGTCACGAATTAAAATAAGTTAAACAAAATAAAATCCGTAAAGTTTGTTTTATTAAATGTGTAGTATTCGTATAATAAATCAGTCAAAAATCAATGAATTGTAAATACTGCGTACAGGTAACTTGGTTATGCTTTTTCCGTTCTGCTTTGTTTTTTATTGCCTCTAAAATATATGGTCGAATTCTAATTTTGTACCTACTTTGGAGTTTTGCTGCTTTTTTAATTGCCTGAAAATATTATAAAGTGAGTAGTAATAGTTTGTACTATTTATTATATTTCTATTATTTGTGTAATTACTTCTTGAGCCCTTTCAAATGAGCCCAAACATAATAGTGTTTCGTAGTGGCATAACTGAGATCTTTTACTCCACCTTCTTTGTCCACTATCATTAAGGTAATATAATCCCATTGAACTAGGTCTTTATAAACCCTTTCAAATGAGTTCAAACACGATCGTTCTACCTAGTGCCGCCACTGAGAACCTATATCCACCTTCAGATTGCACCATCAAAAAGGTGAGGTCATAACAGCCACCTAGGTCTTTATGAGCCCTTTCAAATGAGTTCTAACACGACCCTTCTATCTAGTGCCGTCACTGAGATCCTATACCCACGTTCGGATTGCACCATCAAAAAGGTGAGGTCATAACAGTCACCTAAGTCTTTATGAGCCCATTCATGAGCCCAATGAGTTCAAACGCGGTCTTTTCATCTAGTGTCGTCACTGATATCCTATAGCCACCTTCTGATTGCACCAACATAAAGGTGATATCATTATAGTCATCTAGGTCTCCATTTACCTATTTGAAAATGAGTCCAAACACGATGGTCCTACGTAGTAGCATCACTGAGATCCTTTACCCACCTTCTGAGTCCACCACAAGGAAGGTGACATCATTACAATCACGTTGGTCTCCATCCTCTGTCAAACCAACTTCTATAAATATATATAACGGCTCCGCGGCGCAGTGGCTTAGCAATGAATTGCTGCGCTGGGGGGCGCGGGTTCGAATCCCGCACGGAATAAGTATTTGTATGGCCTACAAATAATTGTTGCGATCTGAATGTTTGTCCTTGTGCAATTTGTGTTTGTAAACTACCTCCACGGTACAGGAGAAAATCCTAGTGTGGGAGTAACGTTTTTTTAGTAAAAAAATATATAAAATAATATAAAATCTTAACAGCATAGAAATAATGTTAGAAAAAATTATAATATATATATATAAAAGCTACTAAGAAAGCATGTACTTACCAATAATGGAAACGAACTGAAGCCAGCGGATTACGGTGCGCCCGGAAAAATACGTGAGTTGCCGTCAGTTAAAAATTTTAACTTAAGATTTCTCATTCACGGTCAGTTTTTGGATGTACGTCAGTTAAACTGATCAGTTTAACTGACCGTGTGTGGCCACCATTAGACTTATAGTCCGTTTGTCACTTTAATGTGTGTGTCTTAAAACCCGGTAAGGATTTTTTTTATAGGATAATGGTAACAAACAAGCACACAGTCCACCTGATGGTAAGTGGTTGCTGTGGCCCATAGACATCTACATCTATCCTCGTTTGCGAATCAAAATGCAGATGCGTTGTCACCCGTGAGGACTAAGATGGAATGCCTCTTTTCCAGTAAAAAGGATCTCCGGTTCTCTACACGCACCACACGAAACACAGCAGTGTTAAGCTGCTATTTTGCGCTGGTATTCTATGAGAGCGTGGTCCTCCCCGGTCGAGCCGACCCATTCGTGCTACAACTATACTACTAATATCGCTGCAGCTTGGCTTTACCAAGTATAAAAGATTCTTTAGTGTGGAACAGAACATTTTTCTTAACTAGACGTTAGAAGTTCTTGTATGCGTCTAGGTCACTGAAAGCTCACAGAATTTAAAACAGTGACACAATTTTTTTTAATCCAAGCATAGTATTATTATTGGTTACTAGCCGTTCCCCGCGACTTCGCCCACGTATAATTTAGGTTTTTTTTTTGCGCGGAACCCTAATACTTTTTCTTAAATAAAAGTAGTCCAAGTTATTCCTTATAACATCAGCTGTCTGCCAGTGAAAGTTCCATCAAAATCGGTCCAGCCATTTCGAGTATTAGCCGGAACAAACAGACAGACAGACAGACAAAATTTTTTTAAATGGTGTTTGTTGTTTAAGTACCGTATATACTGTCATATGCATTTAGTGAAAAGCTGTTATTTTGACATTACAAACAGACACTCCAATTTTATTTATTGGCTATAAATAAGATAGGAAATTGTTGTTTCACGATTTTTAGATATGATGTGCGTAGCAATACTTCCAGATTGTTGAGCTGTGTTGTGCACAGCAAGATGTCAGCTATTCTTGATTCACCCAGACTTTCGGGGCGTTCGTTACATATAATATGCAAAACAGTTTTGGAATCTAAAGGCAGGTGGCCTTACCATACTCTCCTTTTCACGTGGCCATAAACGATAACTAAAACCTACGAGGAACTACGCATTTAAGCCTCAGCTCTAAACTTCAAACGTAAACATGAACAAAAGGTTTTTACTCCAATTTTGTTAAATAGCGTTCCAGACTTTCTGGTGCAGAGGTGTTGGGCTTAGTGGTGGCAGCGATATTGCAGCCAATAGTGGGAGGTAGGGAGGAGCTCTTTTAAGTACATAAGACACACTATAGTATTTTAGTTACATCTTGGCTAATATATTTTCACATATTTTATCGAGTAATATTGTTTTAACCCCGTATCACGCGCTAGCCCACATCTCCTCGAGCCATGCATAGAATCAAGCTGGCGCGGTGCGCCTTGTTGTTTATATCACGCGCCGTGATAATCCACCTACATCTAAAACTTTGAAAGACACCTATTTCTGTCAACCTATATCTGCCAAATGACGGATTTTTTTCCAGCGTAATTAAATGGAATATAGTCTTTGCACAAAAATGTTTAAAGCTTGTTAATAATAGGTCATGATGGTTACATTTAACTTAAAAAAAGTGATTAACAGTAGCAACATTATATCTGATGCATAAGTGAAACTAGAACTGCATTGTGATTATTCCCACCGGCAACGATTCCACCATAGTAACTCTGGGTGTAAAACTTTACCGAAAGTTAGGTTATAAAAAAGATATCAGCTTGTAATCTGTACTGATATACAATGCAAAGAAAGCAAACGACAAACGTTAAAACGGAGTCGGTTGTGATTCCCACCAAAGTCACACAATCTACGCTCATTCAATTCCTTTTATGTTGCATACTTACATAAAATGTTAATATTTAGAATTAGTGAAGTAAAACATGTTATCATATTTTAGAAATTATTTACTATAAGTATATTTTTTAAAGAGCTTTACACTAGCTAATCACTTGGAGTTGCACGCACATGTCATAACAAAGTCTAACAATAACGAAAGTTAATAAGAAAAAAAATAGTATGTATATTTTAATGTAAATATTACAATTCCATTTGTTAATAATAGAGCTTTGTACTTAGCTGTAGTTTCTTAAATAAATAAATAAATTGTAGATGATGTACAACATTTAAAGGTCTTTAAAATCTACTATAGTTTTCTAACTACAAAATTAAATAAATACAAATTTACAAAAACAATAAATTAAATTAGACATACATAGTCATTTAGGCACTGCGCAAACCTAGACATTTTTGTGTCTTGTGTGGGATACAATGAATATTTTATTTTTATGTATTAAATATGAAATCAGCCATTACTTTCGCAGACGCAGACACTTCCTCTTCTTCTTTACTTTTTGGCTTCTTTTAAAAGAATTCTGCCAATGTCAAGTCAGTAGACGCAGACACTTTTTGTATCCAGTTGTTTGCACTTGACACATACCGACCGCGAATCAAAAAGTGTCCGGTGTAGGTAACTGAAAACTTTAAGTCGTCAGTTGAAGACACAAGCAACACAAAATAAATTTCCTCACAATTGTACGGCGCTCATATTGACGTGGTTGATTTGCCTGTACTCGTAAATATTGACGGCGATCACGTCTATGGCAACGTGTAATCAACACAACAAACAAAGGTAATATTCCTCCATCGATATCCAAGGTGAAACTGACGGAAAACAAGCAAGGAATTGTTACCAGTGTCAAGAAACAGCAACCGGCGACTGTGTGCGATTGCCGCTAGCGGACACAGCAACCTACGGTTTCCTGTGATGTTATGCCGTGTCGGTAACAAAACGTGTCCACGTTTGCGCAGCGCGTTACTAAACATATAATGGCACTTATAAATAAAAAATCCCCTTTTATAACACTGACATAATGCGTTCATAATCAAAAACTTAAAAAAAGAAACAATTTTAATAGAGAGCACTCAGAAAAAGACGGGCACCTACAGTGTTTTCGTTTTCTTGCATTCAGAAAAAAAAATTAAAATAAATAACCATAATTATAATAGAGACAAATTTTCAATCAACTTTGGTTGGAAACTAGCACTACATTTGGGATACGCTGCTGGCTTCTTGCCTAATTTATTTGTCTAATTTAAATTTACTACATTGCTTTTACTTCTATGTTGTTCTCATCAATGCTATTTTGTTCTTGCCGCCTGTGTAGATTTTCTGCTGTTTCCCTAAAATTGAAGAAATAAATAAAATATAATATCATGAATAGTACTAATCTAAAAACTATTTTGATCTTTGCAGTGTATGCGCACAAACAACTTGCATGAGATTGCATATATATACGAGTATATATCATGGAATGCCCATGTAAAATAGTCTAGTACTGCTTTTCATGCTTGGTTAAAATGTTAAAGCCACTAATTCGGTTGCGTTTTAATTTTTTTACCATTTGATATGAATCGACTTAGATAGGAGATCTAGAAACCTAGAGACGAAGAGTCGAGGCAGAGTTGGAGCACCGCCTAATGCCGCCGCAGTGGTTTTATATCATCCCGTGGGTGTCGTAAGGGGCTACAGAGATAAATGGAAACAGGAGGGCAGTAACTTCTCCCTGATAACACGTGAATAATATTAAAAAACTGTGGTAGCAAACCCATCTGCCAAGCATGGCAACTATGGAATATCCCACTTTAAGAGGTAATCTACGGGAGTGGCTATGTCCTGTGGACTTTAAATAGGCTATTATGAATCAATGACTAATGAAGAAATGTGCTTCAATGAGATGTATTGCCTTAAGGTTAGGTGTTCCAAGCGCATTAGATATATACAAGTGGTCGTTGCAAAGATCGAGTCGGGCCGCGCATATGATTGTGATTTTTAAAAAAGAATTACAAAAATATTGTTTAAAAGTTATAAACAAATATTTACACAGTGAGAAATAAACACACAAACAAAAGCTTAACTATAGTCTATATAAGTTTCATAAAACTATCATCATCATCATCATCATCATCATCATTACAGCCCTTCACAAGTCCACTGCTGAACATAGGCCTCCCCCAAAGAATGCCACAAAGCACGGTCCTGAGCCACCTGCATCCATCGACTTCCTGCATGTCTTACCAGGTCGTCACTCCATATCGTGGGGGGATGCCCTACACTTCGCCTACCGGTACGAGGCTGCCACTCGAGAACCTTTCTTCCCCATCGTTTGTCGGTTCTTCGAGCTATATGGCCGGCCCATTGCCACTTCAGCTTACTAATCCGTTGGGCTATGTCGGTTACTCTGGTTCTACTTCGGATATCCTCATTCCTAAGTTTATCACGCAGAGAAACTCCGAGCATAGCCCTCTCCATAGCTCGCTGAGCGACCTTGAGCTTCCTTATCCGGCCAGCAGTGAAGGACCACGTCTCAGTTCCGTATGTCATCACTGGCAACACGCACTGGTTGTACAATTGAAATATACTTTCCTCTAATTACGAAGAAATTTTTAGCCGACAATATTTGTAGTTAAGACTACTAGAAATCTTATTTACGAAGTAAAAAGGCGGAAAGGCTGGAATTAGGGGCGTGGCTGGTATTAGGAACATCCACCCTACCCGGGGTTTTTCGTGTTCCACAACTTGGGGAGAGCCTCAAAATTTAAAATAAAATGTTTTTCTGGCTGAAGCACGTTTTGCGGGAGTGGCGACGGGCTGCGCGAGCGCGTGGAAGCCGCCTCTTCAATATATTCTGCGTCCGCTTCCATTGATGCGTGTTGCACGCACTGGGTGAACAATCTTGTTTTCAAGGTTTGAGGTATACCTGACGAGAAGATGTGCCGTAATTTCCCGAACGCTGCCCAACCGAGTTGAATCCGTCGATTGACCTCTCGGTCGAAGTTGGACTTACCTAGTCGGACTATTTGTCCCAGGTAAACATACTCGTCAACAACTTCGAGCTTAGTGTTCCCAACAACTACCGGGATAGGTGTGACATGGACATTAAACATGATCTTAGTTTTGTCCATGTTCATCTTAAGACCTATCCGTTGGGAAGCACTATTGAGGTCATTGAGGGTTGCGTACCTTATACTCAGAATCACCAAACGGTATTCGCCGAAGGTCATACAGGTTTACGCACCAACCTCGGCACACCCCGATGAGGAGGTGGAGGAAATGTATGAGGATATCTCTAGAGCCATGCATTCCTCCAAAACCCAATATACGGTGTTAATGGGAGACTTTAATGCAAAACTAGGCACAAGAGAGAACGGTGAGCTGAAAGTGGGGAAATTTGGAATAGGGCAACGGAACCCAAGGGGCCAGCAGCTGGCCGACTTCATGGAGAAAGAGGGACTCTTTATGATGAACTCTTTCTTCCAGAAGCGGCCCCACAGGAAGTGGACCTGGTCGAGCCCCGACAGTTCGACAAAAAATGAGATTGACTTCATTATGACGACCAGACGACAACTGTTCAGTGATGTCTCCGTGATCGCGAGGGTGAAAACTGATAGCGATCACCGAATGGTTAGAGGCACACTGAACCTAAACGTTAAGTTGGAGAGGTCTCCTCTAATGAAGTCAACGCTCCGTCCCCCTCGTGCTCTAATCCAAAGTCCCGAAACCTTTCAGCTCGAGTTACAAAACCGTTTTCAGTGCCTAGAAGACTGCAATGAAGTGGATGATATGAATGACAAGCTCGTGGAAACTGTCCATGCGGTCGGAGTTAAGTTCTGCAAGACCCGCCGCAGAAGAACACAAAAACTCTCCAATCACACTCTTAATCTCATGGCTGTTAGACGGGAGATGAAGCTACATTCTTCAACAGACTTGATAGCATACAGGCATCTGAACAGACAGATCTCCAAATGCATGCGGCGTGACTTACGCAACTTCAATACAGCTCGTATTGAAGAAGCAATCGAGCGGAACCAAGGCTCCAAAGTCTTTGCCAGAGATCTGTCTGCCAGAAAGAGCCAACTGTCAAAGCTGAAGACAGAATGTGGCAGCATCGTTTCCGGGACACCTGAGATTTTGAGTGAGATTGAGAGGTTCTATGGGCAGTTGTACACGTCATCGTTGGAGCCACACGCAAGTGTGAGTAACGATCCAAGAGCGAGTCTCATCCAACACTATTCCGAAGATATCCCGGACGTCAGTCTGAGCGAGATTAGAATGGCTCTCCAGTACCTTAAAAACGGTAAGGCCCCAGGCGAGGATGGAATTACAGCGGAGCTTCTGAAAGCGGGTGGAAAACCGGTACTTGAAGTCCTTCAGAAGCTCTTTAATTCCGTCCTCCATGGTGGCATTACACCGGAGGCGTGGAGCAGAAGTGCGGTGGTTTTGTTCTTCAAGAAAGGTGACAACGCTCTCTTGAAGAACTACAGACCGATTTCCCTTCTGAGTCGCGTCTACGTACTGTTTTCGAGAGTCATTACGAATCGTCTCGCGCGCAGACTTGACGACTTCCAGCCTCCCGAACAAGCCGGTTTCCGAAAGGGCTTTAGCACCATAGACCACATACATACCCTTCGGCAAATTGTACAGAAGTCCGAAGAGTACAATTTGCCACTATGTCTGGCGTATGTGGACTATGAGAAAGCCTTTGATTCCGTCGAAATTTGGGCGGTGCTGCAGTCCCTTCAGCGGTGCCAAGTTGACTGTCGGTATATCGAAGTGTTGAAGTGCTTGTACAGTAGGGCTACGATGGCTATCCGAGTACAGAACCAGAGTACGAAACCTATCCAATTGCAGAGAGGTGTAAGACATGGTGACGTCATATCCCCGAAACTCTTCACCGCTGCATTGGAAGACGTTTTCAAGCTTCTGGACTGGAAAGGATACGGTATCAACATCAATGGCGAGTACATCACTCACCTTCGATTTGCCGACGATATAGTCCTTATGGCAGAATCGCTGGAGGACCTAAGCACTATGCTCAATGACCTCAAACTATAGTTATTTACAATTTATTTCATTTTCTAAATATTATTAAAAAAAAACGATCGGGTGGAATCGAATCCAAAACGAATTAGCTATGAATAGATATTTTATAGAAAAAAAGGAGTATTAGTACTTGTTTAAAATGAAATTTGACTTGTAAAAAAAAAACTGCAAATTGAACGTAGTTTGGTAATTTTTTCTATCGAGAAAATTGTCTTGTATTGTGAAAAGAAAGAATGTATCTAAAATATTTTTTTTCGGATTCTAAATGTAATAATTTGGCTATCAAAATCAATTTTAAAACGGACAAATACAGGAACATCCAGCCTTAATACGAGTATCGTTGTTGCCTTGTCGCATTCGCTCACTGTGGCTTTGGCTAGCTTAAGTTTGGCTTTTTTGATCGATCAGTGATCACAGAAGTCGTAGTAGATTCGACGGTCTACGTATTATTTTTATGGTTGGCTATGTATTAGTTACAAATCACAGAATACCAGTGTAAAACAGCAGTTTAATGCTGCTGTGATTCTTGTGGCGAGTGTAGAGAACCGGAGACCCTTTTATTGGAAACGAGGCATTCCATCTTAGTCCTCACGGCTGACAACGCATATGCATTTAGATTTGCAAACGAGGATAGATGTAGATGTCTATGGGTCTCAGCAACTAACTACCATCAGGTGGACTGTGTGCTTGGTTATCACCCTTATCCTATAAAAAAATAAAGCACACAATAACCCCTTGAGCGATTTATGGAACCCCTATTCTACACACGTCTTGTGCGTCTTAGATGCGAAACGTCTCGTAGTGCGATAGTCAATCCATCTATCAAACGCGACGATTAAGGCAAATTCTTACTACGACGGAAGAGATCCATGTCTATCCGTGCTGTTACTGGCTTATAAAAAAAAAAGAATGCCAATCGCAGTGATTAAAATATTTTTTTGTAATTATTGGTCTATTTTCTTTCTTTTAATTCCTATCAGTTGCCGTAACAGCCTATCAATAGGTTGTTTGCATAGTTGCCACGCCTCTTACGTTACTCACGTGACGATATGGGGTAGTGGATATTCTTACACAGTCACCACCCGGTCAATTACCACACGGCATTAGATACTTATCTTAAAAATTACTTACGAATACTTGTTAGCGGAGGATGGTTGAAAAATGCTTTTCGGGCATAGGCGGTAGTACGGCCAGCATTCACCGCCAGATTCACCAGCCCGCTGTGCTTCAACGTACTCTTCTAAAAAGCTGGAATACGGGGACTTAGTAGGGCTGTTGAGACAAATGTAGATACCGTCAGTTTATTCAGTCAGCTTGATCACAACATTGAAAAAATATCACTAATTGTCAAAAGTATTATATTCTAAGACATTTAAGAGTAGGTAGGTTTAGTTCTGCTTCCTTAACAGACTTGAGTCTCCTGCTGGATACTATCTTTTCTAGTGTATACATAAACATAGTTTGTTTATGTATTATTTTTTTTTATTTATTTAAGGAAACGTTACCCCCACACTAGGATTTTCTCCTGTATCGTGGAGGCAGTTTACAAACACAAATTGCACAAGGACAAACATCCAGACCCGGAACAATTATTTGTAGGCCATACAAATATTGTTCCGTGCGGGATTCGAACCCGCGGCCCCCAGCGCAGCAACTCATTTGCTAAGCCACTGCGCCACGGAGCCGTATACTCTAAGGCCCGTATTAATAAATGTTACTCAGCTCAAGTACACGTACTAGAGTACAATCTTGAGGTTATGATCTTATTAATAAACATATCTCAAGATGCGGTTTAGGTTTACGATATCAGCTGAGGGCCACACTGATTAATAACTCGATTCTCAAGTGTGTGTACTTGAGTGCAAATCACAGAACAGTATTCCTTAGTACAGCGTTTTGAGATACTGTTTTTATGTGTTTATTAATTAGCAACGATCTTGAGATGCTGATATCGTAATGAGGGTGTATCAAATGATTACGCACTTGAGTTCGTCGTTGAATAACGTTTATAAATACGGGCTTAAGATCCTTTCCAATAATAATAATGTCAACCTGACCATCTCGGTTACGGTGTGCAGTCTCTACGGAGACTAGCCATCTGCTCAGAGTAGGATTATAGTGTACGAGAATGTGCGCGAGCACAGATGCACTCTCTATTTCATTCACTCTCATAGTCCGACGGGACAGATATTCAACACGACTGAGGAGAGATCAGGCGCAGGGCCAACGACTTTACGTGCTTTATGAGGCACGGGGGTGAAACACCAACGCTACTTTCCTGACTAGGACGCTACTAAAAATTTCTTGACTTGACCCAGTTACTTAGACGAGGCAATGAACCTTTTTAAATAATACGCTATCAGGTGTGCATTTCTTGGGAAGTTTACCTACGACGCTGGTTTGGTTTGGTTGACGCGTGCGGAGTCGATATTTTATTACTACTGCTGCTCCTCATAAACAGTCCTTGAGATGTTTTTTCTACTTATTTAGATAGATATTTAGTCTGTCGCCAGTCTCATCTGTCTATCATTATGATGCAGCGCGTGCAAATGGTATTTGGTCAGAAGGTGGCATATTTTCTTTACACCTATGATTATCATCATATTCCTTCTTCTATCCAAAAATATACCTATGTATAATGTATTATGTCGGCTTGGCTACTCAGGAGTGGTATGTTATACGAGACACCCTTACAGGCGAATAGGCTAGCCATCCGACGCTGTATTTAATGGATAATAACCCTGGCTCGCTTCCCATATCTGGGTATACTAGCGGACATAGTTGCGAGGGTGTACGACCGGATCTGCGTTCTCCCGCAAAGCGGTGGTAGTGAGCCAGATAGGCTAGGTGTTCGAGTCAATTAAACAGCAGGAACAACAGACGGGCGTTTCTTACGTGGTAGAGCCATGCTACAGCTATATTACTGGTATAGTTGTAATACGAATAGGCCAGCTCGACCGGGGAAGGACCATGCTCTCACAGAATACTAGCGTAAAATAGCAGCTTGACACTGCTGTGTTTCGTATGGTGAATGTAGAGAACCGGAGACCCTTTTTACTGGAAACGAGGCATTCCATTATAGTCCTCACGGGTGACAACGCATCGGCATCTTGATTCGTCATCGAGGATAGATGTAGATGTTTATGGGCCACAGGAACCATTTATTATCAGGTGAACTGGGTGCTCATTTGTCACCCCTATATTATAAAAAAAAAGTACGCTTTAACGAGCAACAGCGAACTGCTTCATTGAACACTGAACAAAGAGGAACCCACTTGGCTGGTCCGTCGTTAAGAGCCAGCCCGCGATGGCCGCAATGATTGGGCTTGGCGAGCCTATTCGCGATGCGTACATGTTTGTGGAGCCTAATAGCCTCTCTTCGAGAGGGGTGCCTACTCGTCATGCCCGCCGCATCAATATGAGGTGGGGTGGTGTTGGTATTACAAGACTTCGCTCTCCCTACCTTCTACCGAACAAGTTTCAGCTGTGAAAGTTAGGAAATTCGCGAAAAGAGCTATGTGTCATCTCATTGGATTGGTACACTTATTACTGATACCTTAATTAATAACGATCTAAACAACAGTATTATTTTCAACCGACTTCAGAAAAAGGAGGAGGTTCTCAGTTCGACTGTATTTTTTATGTGTGTTACCTCTGAAATTTTTTCTAGATGAACCAATTTTAATGATTTTTTATTATTTGAAAACTGGTGCTTCTCATGTGATCCCATATAAATTTGATCAAGATCTGACCAGTAGTTTTTTGAATTATCCTTAACAATGCGTATTTAATCGATTTCGACTACCCTGATGATGTTCTCATTTTATTTAAATTGAAGTCAGTTGTACAATAATTTTAATTTTAGCACTTGTATTTGTTAGTATTTTCTACCGACTTCAAAAAAGAGCCGGTACTCAATTCGACTGTATGTTTTTTTATGTGTGTTACCTCATAACTTTCACTGGGTGAACCGATTTCGATGATTCTTTTTTTATTTGAAAGCTGGTGCTTCACATGTGGTCCCATATAAGGTCTGACCAATAGTTTTTGAGTTATTCTTAATAATTTATATTGAAGTCGGTTGTAAAAAATTTTAAATTTTAAATTATATACTGCCTAATAGACAAATAGATTATCTGCGTCAAAGATAGTAGTAGTACCTGAGTAGGTCATAATCAGTCAGGTATTAATAATTTGCATTTTTCAAAATTATAGTTGTTATAATATTTTTTTTACTATTATTATAGAACAATAAGTTTGCTTACCTAAAGAATAATTTCATTACTTCTCCTAGGAATCCAAAATTTGTTAATGGGTGCGCATGAATTTCACAAATAGCTCGCAGAAGGCACTCCTTGCCTGATAGACCGAAGTTAGCTAAGAGATCCTCTGCTATGCCATACATTAGGGCTCTGGAAACAAAGGAAAATATTATGGCAATACTTTATTGATCTTTAAAATAAACTTAAATATACAGTAGTGACGAAAATAAAAAAATACTCTAGTAATATTTTAGTAAACATCGTCTCAAAGAAACAATGACAGAAAATTTGAACTAAACCGATATCTATAGTAAAAACATCGAGCATTTAACCGGAAGTAAAAATTTCACAGATTAGTGTTACTAGACCGAGTCCTTACTCGGCCTAGAGGCCTTCCTCTAGGCCTCAAAACTCATCAATTCAACTACTTTGCAGGGGGTGTAGTCCATTAAACGAAAGACCTAATCCGTTATATTATAAAAAAGTGGTTTATTGAAGAGTGCATTTGCTATCAAACTCTATACTTTACTTACAATTTACTTAGTATCTTAGAGACTTTGAGTAAGTATATACTTCGTATACTTTCGCGGGACTTCTTTCGTGAAACTGATTATAGTTTAAACCCGTAACTAAATTTAAACTACTTTTTGGAATAACGTATTCAACCTTATTACAGGAAGTTAAGTCCAAGATATAAAGAGGTTGCATAATTAATAATGTTATCCAAAATATTATCGTATACTGGTAATATTAAACGCAATGATTTTGTAATTTATTTTAAATTAGTTTATGCACATATTTTTCTTTAATCGGTTATAAGAAAATAACGCGTAAATAAAATATTAAGAATAAAAATAGAAATTGACTTAATAAAAGTTCATTATAGTATTTATTCATTCATTCATTACAGCACTTCATAAATCCACTCCTGAACATAGGCCTCCCCCAAGGAATGCACAAAGCACGCCACTCCTGAGCCACTTGCATCCATCGACTTCCTGCATGTCTTACCAGGCCGTCATTCCATCCAGTGGGGGGCCGCCCTACACTTAGCCCACCGGTACGAGGCTGCCACTCGAGAACCTTTCCATTTACCCGGCCCATAGCCACTTTAGCTTACTTATCCGTTGAGCTATGTCGGGCACTCTGGTTCTACTACGCATATCCTCAATTTTAAGTCTATCATACAGAGAAACCCCTAACATAGTTCGCTGAGCGACCTTGAGCTTCCTCATATGGCCAGCAGTGAAGGACCACGTCTCAGATCCATAAGTCATCACTGGCAATACGCACTGGTTTTACAATCTTGTTTCCAGGTTTTGAGGTATACCTGACGAGAAGATGTGCCGTAATTTCCCAAACGCTGCCCAGCCGAGTTGAATCCGTCGATTGACCTCTCGGTCGAAGTTGAACTTACCTAGTCGGACTATCTGTCCTTCATAAGCATACTCGTCGACATCTTCGAGCGTATTGCACCCAACAACTACCGACATAGGTGTGACATGGACGTATACATGACCTTTGTTTTGTCCATGTTATATAATAATAGAGTATAAGACAAAATATTACAAAAAATTTGCATCCGTATTTACTCTAATTTACTAAAATTATAAATTGATTAGTAGGTACTATGTAAATGATGTCATGTGGTTTACAGGTTTGCCTTGAAATAGATCTATATTTTAAGCATAAATGTTTTTTTATAATATGAGAGTGACAAATGATCTTACAATTAACCTGACGGAAAATGGTCACCTGCAAACATGAACCAAACTTTTAACAAAGTAGACTAAACACAGGTGGTCACCTTTGCTTACATAGTAGAGCCATGCTGCAGATATATTATGGTTATAGGACGAATGTGTCGGCTCGACCGGGGAAGGACCACGCTCTCACAGAATACCAGCGTAAAATAGCATCTCAATGCTACTATGTTTTGTGTGGTCAGTGTAGAAAACCGGAGAACTGGAAACGAGGCATTATATCTTGGTTCTTAGGGGTGGCAACGCATTTAAATTTTAATTCATAACCGAGGATAGATGTAGATTTCTAGAGGCCACAGTACTCATTTATTATCAGGTAGACTGTGTGCTCGGATCCCTCATAGCCTAAAATTACAACGTGCTCGGCGGTGAAGGAAAGCATTGTGCGGAAACCTGCATGTCCAGTGTGCCAACACACATTGGAACGACATAGCGGACTAATTACTCTATACACTTTCAAAAATGAGAAGAGACCTATGCCCAGCTGTAGGACGTAACTTTTATTATATTACAAGGCCGTATGCAGATCACTTTTGGACTTGGAACTATTTCATAGTTGGGAGTTACTGTAAATTTATATTACGATAATTACTTATGTATTTTGGCTCAAAGTCTTCAAACTAAAACAACGGTGCAGTACTTCACAGTAGCAGAAATGGTAAAGAGTTTAATTAACTACCGTTACATTCTATCACAAGTCCACTGATAAACATAGGCCTTCCCTATAGATTAATAGGGGCAAGCATGGCAACTAAGCTAAGAGCAAAGTTAAAAAGAAACTTTACCATATAGTATGCAAATAACAATTAATATAAGTTAAAAAATAATAATGCGTAAATCGAATGCACCATCAAATGTTTTCAAATTTAACCTATTTGTCCAACCTATTTTTGTTTCCAATTTGAAATATTCTATTATTCTAAACAATGTTTGTTAAAGTCACTTGACAACTCTTACATCTTAACTACAACTAAATATACAATTGTCAATACTCGTATTCAAAGTAGTATCAGAATTTAGAACAAAAGTAGAAAAAACGCATTACACTTTATACGTAACAAAATGCTCGTGAGTTGAATTTTTGATAGGTATATTATATTATTGGTATGGAGGTGAAAGTTATTGCCTACCGCTAACGCCTGACTTTACATATAAAGAATCATGAATTCGATTTTCCATAAACTATTACCTACTTCTTGAAGTCACATCATATGAGCAATCGAACCTGTTGATATTTCAAAAATATGACGGCCTGCATTATTGCACTAACCGATATTGCTAATGGGGAATAAATCTTGGTATTCGTTACAATTACAAATAAGAAACGTTGATGTAAGGAAATTATTTTTCGTAGAAATAGTAAAACCGTCTTAAATATTAAGAAAATGTCCTAGTTTCTGGCCATTGAATGTGAATTTTCCATTTCAAATAAGTATCTTAATTTAAAACAGATATTTGACAAAGAAAACGTCTAGATTATAGTACCAAAAAATCTTGAATTGAACCTATATCAAAAGGCCAAAACTAAAAACATTCCTTACCTTTCACCACCGTGAAACCTGTCCAGGACTGCCTCTTCCAGCTCTGGAGGTATGGGTACCCGTGCAGATCGTTTCCCACGTCGATTATCTAAATAATGTCCAATGTAATTTGCCATCACAGATGCAGCTTCTCCACCCATTGATCGTGCGAAAATTGGCGGAAGATCGCCGTATGGATTTTCATTATCTGTGAGTCCTAGTTTGTCGAAATCAACTGTAAAATATTAGATACATTTTATTACAAAACACGTGTAAAGAAGAGTATAGATAGTTAAAACTTTAGATAAATGTCTTCTTTAATGACAGCTCATCGAAACGGTAGAGACGGTGAAAGAACAGCCACTACCTCACATCATCCCCTGGGAGAGAGAGGCGACAAAATTGAACCAAGATAAGGGCAGCATCTTCCTGATAACAGCTGAATAACAGAAACTGCGGTCGCCAACTCGGTTGGTATATTTACCATAGTTGCCACGTGATGAGGCAATCTTATAGATAGATATAATTCCCCTATAGAAGAGGCCAATGTTCAGCAATAGACTTTTGATAGCCTGTAATGGAATGATATTACATTTTTCAATAATTCAGAAATAATATTTTTTGCTGACCTTATTTACAAGAATAATTTACGTAATGGCAATATAATTCTTAGCATACTCAGTACTCATCTATTACGGTACCTACTGATGTATGTTATGTTAATTTGTATTTATTTGTATCTATGTTAATTTGTTAGCATACCTACCTAGAGCAAACTATAATTACTATAATACAGCAAAACTCAAAATAAGAATTATGTTATTAATCATGACCATTATAAATGTGTACATAAATGTATAGTTACTTATTTGTTACTATAACATTGTTAATTAGAACTAAATACTTTATTAGTTTGAATGATTTCTATTTAAGTTTTCATAATATGGTGTATGATGGTAAAAATACTGCTGTAACTAATACTACTCTTTCAACTTTTGTTATTTTTTATGTTACAAATGGTTACGAATCTAATCTACTTGGTTTTTTTCCTATGTGACTTCTACTCAAATCTGGTTGAACCTGAAAGTACTGACTTTGAAATTCCAGTTGGTACATCAGTGTACCTGCAAAGTTGTTAAATATACCGTAAAATAACTTAAAAAATGCTATTATAATGTACTCAAATTCTCATCTCATTTTTAATATGATAATATTTTAAAGACAGGTAAAAATTATGAGCAATTAAAATAGACTAACTTGTAAATGGAAAGCTCACTGTCATATTAGACAAAAATCCTTTCGGAGGATGCCGAACGAATGGCATCGACAGTGAAGGTGTTATAGCCATTGTAGTTCCTGGTGGCAGAGCTAGTCGTCCATCATTGGTTATCCAGAGTAGTCTCTTTTGTCTTGAGTGAGGTATGTTTTCTTTAGCTATCTGCTCCTGGTTTGTAGACGCCATAGGCAGGAAAACTGCAAGTGCTATACTAATAAGCACACGGGGCACTCTTGCCTCCATTATGCACCTGCGTACGAAACAACAAGAAACTTATTATTGTATTATCATCAGTTTAGGCCTCGTTGGGTATTGACTTGCAATAAAGAATCCATCTATTAATTATATTGTTAACTAATAATATTAAAAATATAAAAGAAGCTGATATAAAAAATAGAATTAAAAAATTAAGAAACAGTCATTCAAATTCAAATTATTTATTGCATGCCAGATTAAACATTTAAGATGGTACATTATTGAAAAGATTTGTACTCGATAGCATGTGACGGCATATTAACACCAGAGGGCTAAGATTTGATTATGGGCTGTGATAATCCTAGTAAGAACATTATCTCATACTCTTGAAATTATTGTATTGTTATCGGATGTTATATACGTCGGCGAAATTTCAAATTTTCAGGTGTCCAGAAATGGATGAAAACTGAATTTTAAAAACCATCACATGCAGGGCAAGCTAAAAGACAGATTTTGTTTTATAGGTCTAGCTGGCACCAGGCGCGTTGCTGCCGCAGAAAAAAATTGTAGAATTATCGTTTTTTGGAAGAGTTATATCGTTTAATTAGAAATGATAATTCATTCATTGAAATTGAATGCAATGGAATATATATTGAACTTTCAAAATATTTGTCGGTAGGATATGCGCACCACCTGCTGTAAGTTAATTATACTATGCCTATAACCTTCGTAGAAGTGCAAGCAATAAGTTGGCAATGTTTTGCCGCAATCTGATGAAATGTATGGCCTATGGCAGCGCATAAAATATGAACAAACGAACATTAATTTTTGTATATTAGATATATTGTTTAAAGCATTGACATCAATATAATATTATATAATATCTAAGTACATATCTGCCATAATATTATGAAGTACGCACGTTTTGGTATAATTACTAAACTCTTTAATAACGACATAGCTTATTATTTATATACTGTATAAATAATCTATGACAAACATTTAATGACAAGTCTACTTCAAATTTATGTCAAAATCCAAGTTTTTAGATTTTATTTCCTTATTTTACTTAGCTTGCTACATATTTATTTATCTATGATTTTACCTATTCCTCATTAATTAGTATCTAGTTTGTTATCTAATCAATACTATGTAGGCTTTATTTAATATTTATTGTACAAGTTACTACTGTGTGAACTCATATATCTTCTGTTTCAAGCTTAAAAGTCAACTGCTGGACTTTCACAGAACTAGATGTTTCGCACCTTTGATGCTGTTGCCTCTTGTCGTTCTTATACGTACTTTAAGTCTGGTTTAAACGAAATAATTATAAAACTATTTATAAAAAACAGACCCGTAAGATTTTTCTGGTATTTCCCACATTTGACTCTTCCGTCGCCCATGAAACAAAATGGGGTGATGAATTCTCATACGGCCCACCACATGACTATATACACATATATAATATTACTAATTTACTAACTAACATTACATTAATGAGCACAATTCATTTTCAGAGTCTACATCTTATTAAAAACGTTCGCATCATTGAGTTATATGTACTAAGTATATATCGATGGTTCGCATTAAAAACATGGAACATGAAATGGATTTGAACGATCTTATAAAATCGATAGAACATCGGTATAAAATTGACTTTAAAACACTACCTAAATGGAAAGAACTAATCAAAAAATTAAATTTCGTAAAAATGGATTATAGCCGCAAAATTGGTGAGGTTAAATTACGAAAGCTTTGTATTATAAATAAGCTTTATATAGAAAATACGAGACAGACACCTTTTGAGTTAACTGAAAAATTGGCACGAACGGCTAACTTTTGGCATAAAATCCGTTTGACGAATAGACAAACCAGCGAAAGTCAAGCATTAAGTACCAAAAAAGATGTCCGCCCGGTTCCGTCTATTCAGAGTTCCACAGATTTTGCTACAGAAAATAACGTTTCGCTGTCGGAACAAGAAGCTTCATTAGAAGAAATGTTTTTTAAGGGCGTGGAAAAAGACACAAATAATTTGCCTATTATTATTTCTAAACATCATAAATTGTTGTCACCACTTGAATCTCAATACAGCGATTTAAGTTATCATACGTCAGAATCGATTGGCATAAATAAGAAAACTACAACAAACAAAACAGAATGCTACTTGGTACATTTAAATGGTGTGAAATGCAACCCAAAGAAAATTATTATTAAGAATAGCACTTCCGAGGAGCAGACTATGGAATTTACTTTAAAGAATGTTTGTAATGATTGTTGTAAAGTAATATTTGAAAACATAGTTAATCCTAGATTTTTCAAGAATGCAAAAGTGTTTCCACCAGTGACTATTAAATTGTATCCTGGTTTGTCCTTTGTATTCACTTTTAAATTTAAACTGCTACAAAATAAAGTAGATTTTTCGACAGATTTATTTTTCAAAATACTTTTTAAAGTTTCTAATGGAACCCAAATATCACGCCTTTGTATTCCTATTTCTACTAAATTTTTTGATCCAATATCCTTATCAATCACTAATATTGTTTCTATTCCACCAGTCTATAAATGGCATTTAAATTCAAAGTTTGGGTATCCCTCTGGTATAATCACAATTGAAGTTAAAAATGGCAATGAATGCTATTTCAGACTAATTAACCGAAAAAAAGATTTAGCAAGAGATCCAAGTCATACGTCTGTTGACACTATTGTTGCAAACTCTGAATCTGTTATAAATAGAATTGAAGATGATTATTTAATAAACGACACCAATACGTGGTCTACAACAAAATTACCTGCGAATAAGGACTACATTAACGTTGGAAAAATCGAAGATTTTATAAAATATATTGTTAATGACATTATCGAAGCTTCTTTAGATACATTTATTTTTGATTTACGTTGTAATCATTTGACACCAAAGTCCATTAAAAAGATTAAAGTGACTTTTCACAAGAGTGAACATATAGGTTTTCATCAGACGTATTGTGATATAGAATTTCGTTGTATTGACACCGGTGAATTGATTGAAACAAGAACGATTAAAATTTTTGCCGAAGTTTTACCACATCCATTGGAAATATGCCCAGTCATATTAGATATGAGTAATTCACCAGTAGTGCACAGTTTGTACAAGGACCATTTTGTCGTTACAAATACACATAAAGTTTACGGCGCCATGATTAAAATTAAACCTTCAGCCATAATGCGTAAATTAGTAACCATCAGACCTATGACAACTACGATCTTGCCGGAGTCAAGTGTAAAATTTCAAGTTACTATGTGCTCTTCGGACTATATGTCTGATCTTGATGATGATATAAAGGATATGGTCCATTTTACTTTTAAAATTATTGCATCAGGTGTCAAATCGATATACGATGGTGTACCTCCAATCTACTATGAAATTATTGCGCCCTGTGCTTTACAATTTTATGAAACTAAAAATAAATTGAATTTATAAACATAATATTCAATATTTTAGTTACAATTCTTTTATTTACTGTCTTAAAAGTGAAGTATTACTGGGATCGAAATATAAAAACATGCAATGCGATTCAAATAAATATTTAAATTTGGTAATAAAACTTTTACAGCTTTGTTTTTTCGATTGTAGAACAATTTGTAATAAAAATAATACACGAGTCAATAAAAATTGTAAACCGTTTTAAAGGAATGTCATCCACGACAACGGCAAGGATCAAACCTGTTAACGTGGCCGACTTTTATGTATTACAGGTCAAGTGAGTTTGTTGCCTGCACCCGCATAATATTCCAGTTCAGATCCGCAGGTCACGAACAAACCGGTTCCATACGACAATCGATATTAAATCAACGTAAATGATGACAGCGTGCGATTATTGTTATATGAAGTCTTATTATTGTGACACAAGTATTGGTCAAAATAGATATAGCTACGGATTTTGAATGTACCTACTCTAACAAGACTCTAACGTTAACATTATATGTATTTTTTTGTATGTAAATGTAATAAAATAAATATACTTATTTCTTCGGCGTTTAAAAATTCGTTTGTCAAATGTAATTTATTCTACTACTACCACCGTTTCGAAACGAGTTTCATCTGAATAAGCAACAGTTCTTTTCTTCCTAGGATTCGTATGGGTACCTCTTTCTGTGCTAATTTGCTGCCAAGCACCAGTAAAAGTATTGTATTTCAGTTTGAAAGTAGAAGAGCCAGTATAATTACAAACGGGGAGCCATTTTACCTTAGTCCTATAGAACGATAGCGCACTTCTAATCTTTTCCGTTTAATAATTGTTTTTAGTTTTGCAGGTATCAATAGGCTGCAGTAGCCACTCACCGTCAGGTGAACTGTTTGCTCGTTTGTCACTTTAATTTTATAAAAAAATGTTTCTGTTTTGTTATTGATAATATAAGTTAATTTTATTTAAAATAGTAGCTGAGCCCCGCGTTTTTTTACGCTATGGGTTCTATAGAAAAATGCTTCTCTTGTCAATCATTAAGTATTTTTCATGCGGCTACAGTTCGCCGTCAAATTATTTGATTAGAAATAGCATTGCCCTATGAAAAGTATTTTCACTCAGCGAAAATTCGATTAAGTAGGTAGGTACCTATATAACTGTTTTGTCTTGTTGTTGTCTTTACATTCTCACTTAACCCGTCATATTTTGCCTTTAATCTTTGTATAATTATTGTATTTTGATATTTTGTGATTCTGTATATCTCGTACGCATAGAGTACTGTTTAGATGTACTCGCCTTGAACTGCCCCGTCGCCGTGCCCATTGGTCTATTTTGACTGTCTCGTTGATATGATAGACGACTGCTGATCATGTGATCCCTGGTCGAATCCACGTTCAAGCCATGAGTCAGTTGGGTTTTTCAGTCAAGAAATTCTCAGTAGCAGCCCGGAGACAGGAGGTTGGCGGTGTATCACTCCCATGTCTCGGAAAGCACCAAATAACGTTATTTCTGCGCCTGATCTCTTTCCGAACGTGTCGGATTACCGTCGCATCGAACTATAAGAGTGAGGGAATAAAGAGAGCACCTGTACTTGCTTGCCCGCACACT